GCTGATCATTTTTGTCAACCCATTGTCTTTTTCGAATAACATTTTCGTATGTGATCCACTTTTCATCTCCCGTAACAATTTTAGCCAAAAATGATTCCTCTTTTTGCCAAGAAAGCAAGGTAGCAGCTATCGACCTTCTGTCAGCCTTATTCCGTTCACTGAGGTTATGTGGAACCCAAACTCCCAACTTGCTTACTTTTCCTAGCTTTTGGAGGTGACGATTGATAGTTGATTGGGATGTGTGCAGCTTCTCTGCTAACTCCCTCGTCGTTTGCCGTGGATTCTGCTCAATCAAGGCCTTTAAAACGTCATCATCGAAGTCTGAGGAGCGGCCTGGTCTTTCATCATCTTTTAAGGAAAAATCACCTGAACGAAATTTTGTAAACCACTTACGAACTACTCTGTCTGAAATCACGCCACTGCCATAGACATTGCAAATCTTTTTTGCTGTTTCTGTAGCGTTTTTGCCGAGTTTAAACTCCCACAACATGATATGGCGTACATGCACTTTCAAATGTTCCATTTTAAATGAATTCAGAAACAATTTTTTATTACATTATTGACACTTCAGTGTTAAAATTTACATTTATAGACTATTTGCTAATAGCCACTAATAAAACTCAGATGAAGCAACACAACATCTATCAAGTATTCGACAGTCATTTACACCTACTTGCTAACGGAACTTATTTATGACTCAACCCAATAGTTTATTTATTTTTAAACAAGAAGTACAGCAAAGTATTGGGTGCATGTAGATGGCAAGCAGCCAAGTAAGCAAGCCAAGCACAGAGAGTGTTTTATATAAAAAGAAATATGTCGTTAGCTTGCTTGCTTAGATACAGTACAGTACTTGCCACCTAAATGCACTTATTTATACTAAAATGTTTTCAGTAACATTATTTGCAATAAATAATGCGGAGGTATTATTTATTGCAAATAATGTAATAGTTAAGAGCAGTATAAAAATTTTGGAATAATATCAGTGTTTAGAAATAAATACACAATATTCTGTATGAAAACCGTGCATTTCTTCCTAAAACTGCATAAAACATATATAAAATGGTAAAGAACCGATTCCATTAAAATTATGTTCTGGAGTTTACACAATAAAGTTAAAGACGATAAAAAAATATTACACTGACTCAATTTAGATAAATTTAAAAACGAGAATATCAGAGATATGATGTGTCTGATACTGTGAATGAGTTGTCAACAATCTTTTCCATGATGCATATAAAAGAATCATACAAGTGATGTGATCAAGAGAAGGTGAAAAAAAGCATGCTTTAAAACTGAAGAGAAAATATTTATTTCCTCTTCAGTTCTCTTCTTTATGTAATAACATGTATTACAAGTAAGTTGTGAATCTCAAACTTTCTGAAGAATTTTCACAATCTCGGAATGAAAAGAATGTTTAATGAAATTAGAAAGTAGAAAAGGTGTTAATAACAAGGATATTTATCTAATTGTTGAGATTGAAATATAGTACTATATAAATAATATAAATTGTTATGAATTTTAAATGTAATGAATAATTTTTTAGGAATACTTCAAACATCCAGGTTTAAATATTTCTATTAGAGTTCAACAATGTTCAAGTCATCTTTTGGAAATACCGAGCTAAGCTGAGCTCTTAACACGTGAACTGTGACCTGAGCCGAGCTTAACAGGTTTAAATATAAAAACATTTAGCATCCATAAGCATTTTCTAGAAATTAGGATGTCATCATAGAAACGTGACACGTTTAACAGGTTTAAGATTTCGGCTGAGGTCGCAGTTTACCTGTTAATTAAGAGTTCAAATTACTCGATATTTCCAAATAGCTGACTGTTGAACTTTGCCGAACTCTAATAGAAACATTCGAACCGGATGTTTGAATTATTCCTAAAAAATACTGATTATATTTATTTAAAAGTCGTAACAATTTATGTTGTAGCCTACATATATTATTTATATAATACATTACTGTATTTCAACTGCGAGCTTGGGTGTGTTGCAAGAGGCCTATTTTAAAATTAAATTGTATCTGTAATAATAACTGATATACAGTATCGGATATGTTTTTATTTATCTGTTATAAAAATGAGAGCATTCAGATAACTTAAATATTAAGCAATTGAACTAGAAACAATTTTTAGAAAAAATTTAAGAGAATTATTAAAAGTAATAAGAGTAATGCAGTAAACCCTGATTTAACGGACTAATTAGGGAAACTGGTGTCTGCTATTGCCAAAATTCCGTTAAATACGAAGTATGTTAAGTAGAGGGTATTATAATACGACACAAATGACAAACATTTCTAGCAAAGCATGTTTATTCCACAGTAGAGTCCCGATAATTCGAAATGGACGGGACCGAAACTGCCTTGATTTACAAAAACACTCGAAATATATATAGAATAACAGAAAACATCGGAAGAGATGAAAGAAGAAATAATACATATTTAGCATAAGCGTAATGTTCATCTCGAAAATGAATAATTCTGGACGAGAGCTGAGATGGCCGTCAAAATATATATGCTTATTTGGAAGAATTTAATTTTATATTACCGTAGAAATTTGTATTCTTTAATAAGTAGAACAAACTCAAATTTAAATCATTGTAAAGTCACACCCTCAAAACATTTCGATGCAAATAATTTTTTGAGGTTTACGAAGTTTGAAATCTCACTAAAATTAAATGTATAGTTGTTATAACCAACTGTTAATAGTCTTATTTATTTATTTTTGGATTAATTTAATTCGTATTTATCATTTTTATATTACCTGGTGTTATATTGAATTACTAAAACTTTAATCAGGTAATTAAAATATAAATTTCATCTTGAAAGATATACCAGAAAACTGCAAGTTTTAATGATTAAAGATTTAGGTTTATTTGGTTACAGGTGGGGGATCTGCAGAGTGATGCCTCTGAAGAAGACTTTTATGGGAAACTGGCTCTTATATAATTGTTACAAAGATGAAAAAATCCAGAAAACTCCTCGTCGCGAGGCTCGAATCCACGACTTTATAAAACTACTACTTAGAAATGGTATTTCAAAATGTTAGGTAATTAATAACCAGATCTTAGTGAAAAAATAATACAGTGATTTACTTTTACTATCCGGGAAAGTATAGTAATCGGTGAAAAACTGACTTCCTAACAGTTTTACAGTTATTTACTCAGGAGACTTTGAAACGTCGAGAAACGAAGAAAAAAAATTAGGTATTTGAGCACAATTTTGTTCTCCCAATTTGAAGCTTAATAACTCCTGTGCCTTTTGTCGAACATTTATGAAAGTTTGCACGAAGGTTTGCGTATTAGAAGATTCATGCTGATGAATTTTGGTGGTAAAGGTGAAGGGTTGTGAAGATATATAATATATATCTTCCCAACCTATCTTATATATTATATAAGATAAAATCTCATAACAGATGGAGCCACATAAAATTTAAATTCTTTTGCCGAGAAAGATACGCAACTCGTTGCTAGATTTTTTAATATGCTTGAATTTTTGTTAATTATTACTCACTCTGAAAAAGCAAATTTCATGCTCAGTTACAACGTACTGCGATACTGTTTAACAATTATAGTTAAATAACCAGAGCAATAATTTTGTTTTTATAGAAAGACTCTTATCATTAAAACTGAGAGTTACGAGTTCCTTTACGATATCGTTTTCCGAATACTCAAATCAGATATATTCACTGAGGTAATATATTCAATGTTGTTTATGAATGTGAAATAAGTTTTTCCCCAGATAGTTAAAAGTTTGATACAGGTGACGGTTTGTGATGCAGCTTACAACATTTGAATACTTATCGTTTATCAACAGAGAATTTAAAGAAAGTGATTATAAAAAATTCAAGAAGACTCGATACGACTGAAGGAAAAGTGGCAATACTTTTTCATGAAGCATAACAAATAAGGACATAAACAATAAAGTAGAAATTTGATTCACAAGGAATATTTCTTATAAGAACATTTAAATGTAAATTTTCACAAATATATTTAAAAATGTATTCACACGAAATCAAAATGCTATTCCAATAAAAGGTAGTAGCTGACATTTTTATATTTTGTGTACATAAACTAAACTTTAAACGAATTTTTTAATGGTTTGATTGGATGTTTTTGCTTGATTAAATTTATTTATTTATTTATTTATTAGCGATCATAATTACAAAATGTAATTAAAACAGTCTTAATATTGTCTAAAGCTTTAGATAAGAATAACACTATTAGCATTTTCAATTTCATAAAGAGATATTTTTATATTTAATAAAAAAAGAAAATTATTTTTTAAGTAAAAACTGTAAATATATAATATAATGTTAAAATTGAAATATTACAAAAATTTTTCAATTTTTTTTAAATTTATTTATTTGAGAGTATTTCTATGTTTAATTTGGGAGGAGGAAACAAGAGAATTTGAAATTGATCTCAAATAACTAGATACATCAATTACATTTATAAAATTGTTTTTAAGATATAGTTTTATATCATGGTTCATAGGATACAGTAAGATATTACTTTTCAGAACAAAACGAAGATGAAGGAGGAAAACAATTAGGTCTGATTGTGTTATAGGGGAGATCGGGGCAAGATCGGCATGTTAAGCTTTACTTAAATTTTGTGTAATAAATACTGCTGTAAACTGAAAAAAAAGCTTTGCATATTGTCTATTGGAATGTTNATTTTGCTCAAAGTGTATTTGAATTACTTAATAAGAAAACATATTAAAAATTTTGTTTAATAAATAACAAATCACATAAGTTTGAATAAATTATATCACTATAATATTCATAAACAGCTACACATATTGTCTTTAAATTTTTCAAGCCTGCATCCAGAATATTTTAAATGGTGTAACGTGAGAAATATTTTTTTTCATTTTTCTTATATAATTGTGGAAATTAATTACAGTCGACCTCCCTATAACACTGTTGATAATTCCGTTTTATATGAATTCCATGTAGTACGAGTCACTTAGATTTTACAAATACGTGTGCCGGGCTGTGAAAGGCTCACGTATTTGAAAAATCTAAGTGACTCGTACATGGAATTTATATAAAACGGAATTATCAACAGTGTTATAGGGGGTCGACTTATTTAATGTACTGGGATAGTAACATATGTTTAACTATTTAATACTAATGGTTTAAAATAAAAACAAAAATAATCAACCTTTCCATATTTGGTCTCGATTTTCGTCTATCAAATCTCTGTTCTCGAGATTAACGTAGTTCAGACAGTCAGACAGTCGGACGGATGACGGACGCCAATGGAAATTCATACATAACTCTGTAATTTGAAAATTGTAGCACAATTAAAATTAAAAAACAATAATTTTGTATTGAAAAGAAGATGCTAAGCTTACCTACGTGCTCCTTAAATACACCTTTATTAATTTGATAAAATTAAATAAACACTTCTGTATATCTNTAAAGAAAATATTCGATTTAAAACTTTAGTATATGAAAATAACATAAAAGCAAACTTTGCAAGGGATAAATTATTTTTTTTCTAAATAAAACTAGATTACTGTCTTATGTCGTTCTTCGTAAGTATATCCAGAACGATACAATAAGAGAAATAAAATAGTAAAAACGTCAATATTGTAGCCTCATTGTAGTA